GTGTGTGTGTGTGTGTGTGTGTGTGTGTGTGTGTGTGTGTAACAATATTGAACAAACAAGAGGCTATCAATTTTAGAATGAGAGGGAGAACAAGGAAGGTGCTGGAAGGAGTAAACTTAGGAGGGGTTGGGAGGGAGGAAAGGCAAGTGGAAATTGATGGAATTGATGGGATTATTTTTAAAATAAAATAAATTTTAACATTTAAATAAATTCCAATGTCTTGTCCTGTCACCTCATTTCACCTGTAGACCTGAGCTGATGTTTCATTTGGGGGATTCTGGCCTTGTTTGGTATATCTCTGCTAAAATTTTCGTTGTGTACATGCATGTGCACATGCAGTATTGTACCTATTGTATTTTAATTGTGCCACTGTGTTGCCTTGGTATTGTTCTGAGGAGTTTTTGTTTGGAAGAAATTTTCACAGAATCTGTAGATTTCTATTTCCTTGTCAGTTATAGAAGAGTCATTATTGTTACGTTCTTTATTGTTGAGTATGTAATTAAATTAAAATGGTGCTCCCTGCCAGCGATGGTGGCACTCACCTTTAATTCCATCACTCAAAAGAGGCAGAGCCAGGCAGACCTCTGTGAGTTCAAGGCCAGCCTGTTCTACAGAGCGGGTTCCACAACAGGCTCCAAAGCTACACAGAGAAGCCCTGTCTTGAAAAAACAAACAAACAAAAAACAGTGCTCCCTTTCCTCCTTCCAAGCTCTCCCATGTCATCATCGCTGCTATCCTTCAAATTCATGACCTCTTTTTCCATTAATTCTTAATGCATGAATATATATGTGTATGTGTATGTGTATGTGTATGTGTATGTGTATGTGTATGTGTATGTGTATGTATATGTATATACATCCTGAAACATAGGCCTGTTGAGTCCACATAATGTTACTTGTGTGTATGTTTTCAGGGCTGATAGCAATGGACAACCAATCCGCTCATCTCTTGGAAACATCACCTTTTCCTCTCCTAGCTTCCTCAATTGCTTATAGTTGCTGAGGCCTTGTGAGCTTTTCCCTATCCAGTTTGGCATGTCCATAGGTGTCATCCTGGTTCAGATCAGGTTTGGATAGTCATGTCAATGAGACATTATGGATGTAGTTTTTGATGTTACTAGGAGACACAATCTCACAACAAACTCCCTGATACTCTAACTCTTATAATCTGTCTGCTCACCTCTTCTCTAATGTTCACTGAGCCTTAGGTGCAGGAATGTTTTGTAGATGGATCCATTGGGGCCTGGGTTTTGGTAGATATATTTCTTTAGTTTTATGCTTCTTGTAGGTTTGTAGAGAAATTGTGCTTTTGTCCCAGTCACCTGCTTGAATTCAAGGACTTGCATGGTTTGGGAAGGTCTAACTTACATAGTGGATTCAAGAGCACAGGGTATACAGATTTTAGTGTTTCTGACTCTGAGTACTCAAATGCTGTCATGTGGTTTTCAATCAGCTTTTTCAACCAAATCTAACACTCTTGGATGTTGTAGGGATTTTCAACAATCAAGACAGGATATTTATCATAGCAATGGATTATGCTGTATTCCCTGGTCTAAGATAGTGGGGACTTCTCAAAGAAGTTTTCAGCACAGTGTAACTTTCAGACACATTCATTGTGGCAGTAAAGTATTTCTTCATACACCATGCACAGTGGTCACAGAATCAGTTTCTGAAGTATAGGTGTTCATAGAAGAAACTGGATTGCAAATATCTAGGTCATTTAGTGGTAAAGGTCCTTGGTGTTCAGACAGACTTCTTAACCTTCTGGTAATGGGTCCATGTGTGTTCTTATAGAAAAAGGCTGAATACCTTCCTCCCTCCCTCCCTCCCTCCCTCCCTTCCTCCCTTCCTTCCTACTTCCTAATTTACTTCTTATACTGATATTCTATGAGTTCCCTGTTGCTGCTGAGTTTTGTTGTAAAAGTTTCTAACAGATATTGGGTTATTGTTCTGAATTTCATCCTTTTTCTTTTTGCATTTAAGTTCAGAATCTCCTTCAAAGTCACCAATTCTTTGGTTGTGTCAATTTTCTTAAAATGAATACACTAATTGTTCATTTTTATTTACTTTTTATTTATTGCATTTTCTTTAATAGTCTATGGAAGTTTAGCTAGCCTGACAATTGACTCATTTGTTCTTTATCAAATATAAACCCTTGAATCTGAACATACTGATACAATAGGCATTTTATGTTCTCTGATAGTTCTATCATGTGTATCATATATGAATTTGTCCTGATGATTAATCATTTTCTTTTACACTGTACTTTATTGTCTTTCAGGCCTTTTGTTGAAATTTTCAAATAACTTATGAAGAAATGTGCTTAATAAGGCTTTTATTTTCTGAAAATTCATTAGTGTAGATAAGGGTTTGAGTATGCATGTTTCCTGCAGCTATAATAAACAAGAGAATTCAAGTTTCTCTTGTTTTCTTGCCTTTGCCTTTTCTTGATTTTATGTTCAGAACCTTCTTTCAAGAAAGCCTGTATTTTTCATAAATTTAATATTTTAAGTAATTATTTAAGTTAATTAAATGCATAGCATAGAGTGTGAGAATTTGATATATGTGCAGTAATCAAATCACAGTGGCATTTCTAGTATTGTCCCTCTTTTGCAGCATTTTCTCCACACCCAAAATATACGACTTTGTAACTTCATGCAAACTGTGTATTCTTCCAATAATTTATAAAGGGCTGGTTTTGTCATCACCTATAGCCTTTTATTGTTGGCTTTACTCATTTTGGAGATGTCAATTAAACCATCATTTTCTTCCAAAAAAACTTTCCTTAACTGTGTGAGAGGATCTGCATTACTTTTGGTCTCTCTTATAGTATATACTGCATATAAGAAAAACATTAAGTTATTGGATTAATATATATTTCACCCAACAAACAAGAAAATTTATAGATTAAAATTATGTTTCATTTCAGTTACCGTTTAAGCCTAATATCTAGTATGAAATATTTACATGACAAGATATCAATGTGTTTTATAAAATAATATAAATTAAGCCCTTTAGTATATTTCATCTCTGGATTAAACAAGTGTATTTACACCCTTCTTCGTTCCTTCCTTTCTTCGTTCCTTCCTTCCTTCCTTTCTTTCTTTCTTTCTTTCTTTCTTTCTTTCTTTCTTTCTTTCTTTCTTTCTTTCTTTTTCTTTCTTTCTTTCTTTCTTTCTTTTTTAAATTTTATAATTTAATTTAATTTTACATATCAGCCGCGGATTCCCTTGTTCTCTGCTCTTACCCCACCCCCCTCCACCTTCCCCCTAGCCCACCCCACATTCCCATCTCCTCCAGGGCAAAGACTCCCCTGGGGATTGAGTTCAACCTGGTAGATTCAGTCCAGGCATGTCTAGTCCCCTACTCCCAGGCTGAGCCAAATGTCCCTGTATAATCCCCAGGTTCTAAACAGCCAGCTCATGCACTGAGGACAGACCCTGGTCCCAGTGCCTGGATGTCTCCCAAACAGATTAAGCTGATCAACTGTCTCACTTATCCAGAGGGCCTGATCCAGTTGGGGGCTCCTCAGCTATTGGTTCATAGTTCATGTGTTTCCATTGACTATTTGTCCCCGTGCTTTTTCCAATCTTGGTCTCAACAATTCTCACTCATACAAACCCTCCTCTTCCTCACTAATTGGATGCCTGGAGCTCCACCTGTGGCCTGGCCATGGATCTCTGCATCCAGTTCTCTCAGTCATTGGATGAGGTTTCTAGCATGACAATTAGGGTGTCTGGCCATCCTATCACCAGAGTAGGTCAGTTCAGGCTTTCTCTCGACCATTGCCAGTAGTCTATTGTGGAGGTATCTTTGTGGATTTCTTTGGACCTCTCTAGCACTTTTCTCCTTCCTATTCTCATGTGGTCTTCATTTATCATGGTCTCCTATTCCTTGTTCTCCCTCTCTGTTCTTGTTCCAGCTGGGATCTCCCGTTCCCCTAAGCTCTCTTTCCCTTGACCCTTGGAGTTGGTTCTTTGAGAAAATCATCAAGATAGACAAGCCCTTATCCAAACTAACCAAAAGACAGACAGACAGACACAGAGAGAGAGAGAGCATCCAAATTAACAAAATCAGAAATGAAAGGGGGAACATAACAACAGACAATGAGGAAATCCAGAGAATCATCAGGTCATACTTCAAAAACCTCTACTTCAGAAAACTGGAAAATCTAAATGAAATGGATAATTTTCTGGATAGGTACCACATACCTAAGTTAAATCAAGACCAGATAAACTATTTAAATAGTCCAATAACCCCTAAGGAAATAGAATCAGTCATTAAAAGTCTCCCAACAAAAAAAAAAAAGCCCAGGACCAGATGGTTTCAGCAAAGAATTCTACCAGATCTTCAAAGAAGAGTTAATACCAATACTCTTTAAATTGTTCCACACAATAGAAACAGAAGGAACATTACT